TCAGAAGAGATAAATGCTCCGATGGAGTACTTTGCAATCTCGTACTTGCTCGTAGAGACAAGAGAGCTATGCTCGTGGACACACTGAAATCCAAACATGTTTTATCTAACAGAATATATTTTAGTGTATGAATGTCAATGTAATAATTTTAAAGTAAAAATGAAAATAATACCAATGTTTCATTGGTTTGATTGTCCGCAAGTAGACGACTGATCTCGGTCTCCTTCGTTTTCACCATGAGCTGAAACTCCGTTTTCATTTTCTCGATCTCTAGCATTTTTATGTCAACATACATTTTCGTCTTTGCGATCTCATAGTCACAGTCAAGAGAATGTTGTTCCTGTAGAATATAAAATTCTGAATGTACTGTAAGTTTATTCTTTTCTTTAAAAGAGTATCAAATTCGAAGGCAATAATGGATGAAACCAAAAACCTAAGCAACTATCATCAATATAAAAATCCGAAAATCAGTTTATTCTTATCAAATTCGAAGGCAGTAACGCATCATATCATCGCATGATATCATCCACAGTAATGTGTCAAACAATTATGAAACCACAAACCCAAGCCCCAATCAATAAAAAAAAGTTCCGAATGTTGCTTCACCTGAATTTGCTTTCRTGATTTCTCAACTGATTCATTGAGGAAATCGACCACTGCTCGAGCACTCTGGGAAGTCATTCCTTTGGCCGCCTCCAGATCCTTGGACTGGATAACAAAAATAAAATCGGATTATTAGATATATATACACATGAAGTAAAATCAGACATCTCTTATCGAATTTACCTTTCGCACTATATACTCTATGGACGACGAGAAGCGGCGGCGCGGAAAGATCCGAGATGACATAGTCTTCAACGCAGCCATTGATACTGGTTTCAGAGGCCAAGAAGCGACGGAGAAAAAGCAAAAAAATGTGTGTTACGAGTGACAGTAGTCGAGGTAGGGTTTTATTCAGTATCTGGGCCGGGTCAAATTTTAATTGGGCTTTGTGTGGGCCGGGACAATCATATATTGC